GCTCGCGTGGATCAACCCGCGCGTGCCGAGCTCCATCATCGGCTTCAGCAGCGTCGAGAGGCTCGACCAGGCGCTGTCGGCGCGGGGCAAGAGTCTGTCCGAGGAGGAGGAAAAGTCCCTCGAGGAGCTGTACCAGCCCAAGGCCATCTCTGGGCATGCATGAGGCGTGACACACTAGATGAGGACGAGAGAGGGAGAGCGACCCAAACTGGAACACCAATTCACCATGATTGTAGACAAGTATGCAGGATACGCGCACGTCTAGGAACGACGGACGACGAAGCGGAAAAGCAATGGTGATCCTTTCGCACACGACTGTGCCGACTTGCCGAGTGATACCACATTGTCATGGGCGATGCGACCTTGGCCAAGGTCGCCCGCCTTCTTCACATGCTGGATAGCATCTGAGATCGGGCGGTTCGATCAAGGGAGGAAGCTGCCTCGCAGATCCCCGTCTTCGAATGTGGGACGCAAGGCGCGATGCTCATCTTCATCTCGTGAATCTCCCAACTTCGTTTGAGAACAGCGAGTCTGGATTCATCGCCAAGCACCCTCAGTCATGCTGACAAAGGGGCGCGCCGTTGAAGAACTCCCCTGCATGTTCCCTGCAGACAAGCGTCCAGGGCGTCCAGGGCGTCCAGGGGTGGCTTTCATGCCCCCCACCTTGGGTAGGGAATCCAGACACCAGCTGACCTTCCAGAAGAGGTGCTTCCGGATCATCAACGCCGCACTGCAATTGGGTAGGCCCCGTCTCGAAGGAACTGACACTTCAGTGGGGTGGAAGGCATTAGGATTGAGCGGCCGCCGATTATGTGTGCGTCGTGTCTGTCTGCTTTGGGCTTCCCGGCTTGCCGCATTCGCTCGATGGGAGTTCTACTGTACGAGCCCAGGTCGTCATTTACAGGGCCAACGTTACCTCGTGGGTTAGACTTTTACGCCAATGCACGCAATTTGCCTGCCGGGACACCAAAGTTTTTCTGGCACCTTTTCGGCAGACGCAATCTGCCCAAATGTGACAGATTGAACCACACGTTACGATCCGTGATTCGGAAAGCAGCAGCACGTCAGCAA